CGTGGGTTAAACAGGCGTTTTCGAACAAACCCGCCGTTTGCTTACGTTCGCGGCCGCTGCCAAAGAGTAACTAACAAAAAAAAACACAGAAAAAGCAAGCGACGCAAAGGAAAAGATAGCGCGAGAGAGAGAAACGGGGATTTGGAGAGACGCGAGAAATCGAAATAAAAAGCAAACACCTCTCAGCACAAAAACACGAAGCGAAGTGCAAAAGCAAACAGCCAAGCGCAACAATGCGAGAACAACAAAAACAAACACTTTAATACAACAATGATAAAAAAGAATAAAAACAGAAGAAATGACAAAATGAAATCCCCCAACAAAGCGAACAGCGAAGAAAACAAAACAAAGTGCAAAAACTACGTGCGTGATAACACAGTTTGAGAGGCACTGATCCGAACAGATAATATTCGAATATTCTAAGAATGGAGCGATAATTGATAATGGAAATTGGTGAAGCACTCTTGACAGATAATAAATTATATATATTTGGAATAATTATTGTTGATAATTATCAATTGGAGTTTATCTTTTGAAAAATAGTGCAATTAGAAAACAAAGTGCAGAAACCAAATGGAATTGATCGGGTTTACCAAAACTTTTTCGCCTCTTATCATTATTATCATTCTTATATGCATATCTATTTTTACGAATGTAGCATGCTATTGCTTCAAATACCATTCCTCTATGAACTCTAGTCAAGGATTGTGAAACACCTTCATAGGGCAGAGTAGAAGCACAATTTACGCAGAATCTGGTGCTTTTAATAACTCTGCATTTGCATGGAAACGCACCGGATATCCGCTTTGTCGGCCAGCACGGAACTGGAGATAATGGCACCGACCAGAGGCAATAAAACCGGCGGACACTCGCTCCTCCACTCCGAAATGGCCATATTGTGCGACATGGCACGTGTTTGGGCCACGCACTTGGCCAAATTGCTTTATGGCCACTAGACAGCGGGCACAGGCCCAGCGGCGTATTTACGAGATATTCGGTGGATATATCCCATTATAATGGGCGGGAAATGCGAAGTGGGCAATGTGAAATGGGCGGAACACCCCGGGCGTATGAGTAATGCGTGTGTGCACAGCATTTTGGCCCAAGGGCGCAATGTGATTTTTGGCAAGCCGAAAAGCGAATGCGAAATTAAATAGCCAAAGAGACACAAGCAGACACGAACAGACAAAGGGGGAGGGAAAAGGCGCAGAAATAAGTGGGATACACCATGCTGGTGTCATTATTAGCCGCTTGTGCCAAAATGAAAGGAGAAAGGCGAAGATATGCAAAAGACGGGTGCGTGCCAACAATAGAATGTGTTGCATACTTTCCAGCGCGACGTCTTGGAATTTCGCAAAAAATAAATGGGAAAAACTAGTGTTTAAGCTGCTGCACAAACAAAAGTGGCAAGTGTGGCACATTAGCGACGTCAACTTGTCTGCAATGTCGCTCGCAGCCCGATAATTAAATTATGGGCCACACAAACAAAAGAGGTGGGAGGCGATTTCCACGCTTAAAACGCGAAAATTAACCAAATTATATATGTACTTAATTGCAATCCTAACTATAGATTATTCAATACAGATTCAATATCTGATTAAGATAAGTTGAGTTATGGCCTCCAGAACTTCAGCCTTGGGTCATTTTTGAATTTCTACATCATCCTATCAGAAAAATTACAAAAAAATTTCGAGTAAGTAAATTTTCAAATTTTAATGCAGTTTTTTTGGGAATTATGCCAGAAACATTTAGAGGTATGCCACTTCAAAATCCGATTAAGATAAGTTGAGTTATGGCCTCCAGAACTTCAGCCTTGAGACATTTTTGAATTTCTACATCATTCCATCACAAAAATTACAAACAAATTTTGAAAAAATAAATTAGATAATAAATAAATAAGATAAGTTTAGTAATGGACTTTAGATTCTATGACATTCCATTTTTGGATAAATACTTCCATTTTTATAGACAAAATTCGTGATTTTTTGGACGAAAATCTGAATCAGTACTAGTTTTTTGTTTGGACTTTTAGTATCCAATTGGTCAGAAAATGCCACAACTAATCTGTTATTTTTCCCACTACCCACAAGCATTCAGCAGAAGTTAAACTTTAACCAGGAATCGATGAATTTCCCATCGTGACTTGATAGCATTCTTAAAAACAATGACACGAGAAATGAGTCATGTCGAAAGAAAAAGCTGACTAACTAAATATAAACCTAGTGAGTTAATAATAAAATACGGCAGGCCCCATTCTATAGAGCCCCTCCATAATTGATGCAACTAAATTGAGCGGCGTAAACAAAAACTGTGAGAAAAAGCACCGAAGGAACAGAACGCTGATGGAAAACTTATTTGCAGGCAATTTCCGTGAAATGTTGTAAACAAATAAAGGAGAGCGTGCTTCCTGTCGCGGCAGACAGCAAACTCGAGAGTAATCAATCGATAGTTATGTTTTGTTTTCAGCCTTTTATAGCCTTTATAGTTTGCCAGACTCCTGCACATTTTTCCCTATATTTTCGATACAGTTTTCATGTTCCGTGCACTTGTCGCACAATAAAAAGCGGAAGAACAAAAGCAAAAAGCTTTTCGAATCGTTAGGCAGTAAAAAAAAGTTGATAGAAATAAAATTAAGCCTGGCTCTATGTTTATTTTGTTGCCCAGATAAATCGACTGACGGCTTTTAGTTGGTGCGTCAATAAAGTTGAGCGAAAATATTTGCACAGCGTTCAACCAACGAACAAACGAGGCGCTTTCCTTTTGTTGTTCGCTGTTTTATGGGCCATAAACAAAGGCCCAAATTGAATGTTTGGCGATTGAAACCCAGGGAGCTGGAAGACCCGAAAGAACTGCCCAACAGCTGCTCTGGAGACCCCATTAAAGATGGCCATATACACAGAACCAGTTGCTCGCCCGTTTTCGCAGTTTTCACGGCACACGAAACGTTCTAACGGCACGAAAAGGCACAGAATATTGGCTGAAATAATGGTCACAAATCATGAAGTAATACGACTCATAATAACCGTAACTGTCAGGTATTACGTGCAAAACAAATGATTTTGGGGGCTTAATTGCGAAATGAGGACATCTTCGAGACTGCACAATAATTTAATTTTTACGTCACATTTCCGCATTTAAAATGTGCAGAAGAAAGGCAAATGCCACGACTTTTTTCATATTCATATGTAATTTAATGTTTTCTATATCCTGTTTCCTTTTCCGGTTTCTAGCAAGGTGTATGCATCCGCTTTTGGGCAAACAAATTAATACACATAAACAGAGAGACTGCCTTGCCGAGCTCAAGATCTCCAATTTCGTAGGAGCCTCTCTTGTTTACGCTAAAATCGGCCCAAAACAGTGGAGGGGCAAGGGCAGGGGGAAAGAGGCGAATTGGTAAACCTGTTTCCATTGCACTCGACCAGAACGGACAGCAGCGGAAAAGGAAGAGGAGGAGTGAGTGGCAGGGCCATCAACAGGTAACCCAGTGCACCTACAGACCAACCGCAGCACCATCCAGAAGTTACCAGCGCCATCATATTGTACCATTGTCCATGGTATCAGCATCATCGTATCACCAAAGTCAATGTGTTTCCGTCAGCTGCCGTTGGCCCCAGCTCAGAAAGCCAGAAAGGCAGAAAGCCAGAAAGACAGAAAGGAGCTGGCTTTGTTGATAGCGCTGTAGTTCTGGTTCGCTTTTGTTTTGATCGGGCTGAATTTTCGGCTCTGCAAACGGGTTTACGAGTGCATTCATTCAACCCGGCCAACCCCCTCTGCCGCCTTTTACCAATTTACTAAGGCTGCTTGATTGTTGTTATACCCTTTCAGGTAGTTCACAGATTTTTACTGTGATCAGTTGGCTTAAAAGCCATCAAGCATAATCCTTCGATCACAAATTGGTATTTATTGTCATATTGAAAATATTGCAAATACTTTTTATTTCGAAATGTGAATTGAAATTTACATGGTAAAGAGAGATTGTGAAAAACACCCTGAATGAACTGGGAAATGCTGCACCATCTCCTTTCAGCGATCATATATTTATGGTATAATAGGATAATATGGTAATGTTACATTATCCAAAAGTCACCCCAAAGAGTATCCCAAGCTTCAGTGCCCATAGAAAAGCAGCCTTTGTGCTGGTCTCATTGTTTTGGTTTTGGCAAAGGGCAGGGAGCCGAGGAAGTGGTTTTTCCTGCCGTACCTGTATGAGTTTCCCTGTCTCGGCCGCCTCTGTGTGTTCATCTCTTTCGCAGGACAAAGAAAACGCAGGCGAATGCAGAGTGTGTGGAACTTGTTCCTGATCCCAGAGGGGTTGCAAGGAGCAGAAAATGGGAATCTGAGCGTTTCCAGGAATAACAGGCAGTCGAGGAAAACGATAATCGATGGTATTGCAGCGAGGAATGCACGTAATTAAAGGGAAGTGGATAGATTGTTCTGAGCCAGATTGATTATGCCCAGACTCCCGGTTCTTAGTCGCCACTCCTTATCCTCCTTATCGCTCTACCTACCTATCTCTTTGTAGGGTCTCCTTCGCCTCCTTTGTTCCTCGGTCACGTCCATGTAATTGCCAATAATCACAATATGCGCTTCGGTAGGAAAATTCAATTTACATGCCGCCAGTGGAGCGAAAAGCGAGAGAGAGGCGCAAAATTGAGTTACAGGATGACCCCGGTGAGAACGCTTATGAAATATGCCAAAGGTGACTTTCAATTAAAGGCCACCCGGCCAGAGGCGTGCGAAGGATTTCAAAACGGGCTGGTCGGAACAAGTAAACTGGTCCATACTTTGAAGAGTCAAGATCACATAGTTAAGTTATGAAACATCCAATTTATATCATCGCAATCTAAATTCCTGGTTCGCAACATAACCAACTTGAATAAGCAACTTGTTTGGTGGGGGGTCCGTGAAACCCCCCTCCATTACGCCCCTGCCACCAGCTGTGCTTCTGCTCTTACGTTCCCTGTGTTTGATTTTCTTTGCCTGGCTTTGTTTTTGCTTACCTGCCGGGAAGAAATTGTTCAAGAACGTTGACATTTTTCTCTCTCGCTCCCGCCTCGCCAATTCCTCTTTCGCTCTCTTTCTTTTTGTGGTCCTTCTCGTTTCGTTACGCTTTGTTTTTGTTTTCGTTTTAATATGCACTGTGTCAAACACTTTTTCTTGTTTTTTTCGATTTTTTTTCAGTTCTTTTTAATTATTTTGTAGAAAATATTGAAACAAAAATTTAAATAATACATACAATCCGCGCTTAACTGCTAAGTTTCACATAACACATTTTCACATCGTACGTTTCGAAAATATTTTTTCCCTTTCAGTTATTCACGTAAGTTTTTTGCAGTTGAAATGCATTTTCGGGCAAATGATTAACAATTGAGGCGCGTCGACTGTAAAATGCGAGAAAGAGAAGAACATTGGATTAAAATAAGTAACGGTAAGCGAAAAACAGTTGTTTGTTTTTGCACAACGGGGCGACAAAATGAAATCCCGAAAAGCAACAGTGAGTGAGAGTGAGAGGGCGGTATAGCGCGGATTTCATTAAATTTTCCAAAGTGAGTGTGTGTGGGTGTACGGGGACGCTTTTTCCTACACATATACAGACACAATTGCGCGCATATTTTCTAACAATTTCCACACTTTTTTCATTCCTTTTCGCACTTGGTTACTCATATTTTTAGAGTTTTATATTTAACACAATCGAAAATACATACACACTGAACCTAAGCCAACATATTGCGAAGTTAATTGCCTGTTTCATAGATGGTTTTTCTATTGTTTTCTGTCGTGTAATTACTTTAATTTGGATATTTCCTTGAAAGGAGTCACTGTTGCTATATATGTATATTGTATATTTGTTTCATTACCATTTCCCAGCGATTTTGCAAATAAGAAAAACGCAACACACACACACCGCGCGATTGGCGCTGCACGAATGAAGAAAACGCAAAGAAGATCCAACAGCCAAGCCAAATGGAGTCCACAAACGACCCCCGAGTGTTGTATACATGCATGTGCGTGTGTGTGCACTTGTGTATGTGCACAGGAGCTCGGATAAAAACAACAACTGCCAGCTGTGTGTGCAACACAGTGGATGTGGATCTCATTCGAGGAGTGTTGGGAAAACATCCGCGCTTAAGGGGTTACATGGACTTCATGCTTGCCACTCCATTTTGCATGAAAACAGTAAAGGTTATTATTGTTAATAATGCTTGCTAAAATGTATTAATGTAGAAAAGTACTCATCTTTTTCAGATGATAAGCACTGGATAAAGATGTGCATTCTTCCTAAGGACTATCCTTTCACAGATTACTTAAGTTCTGATATTTGGGAGTATTGGTATATAATTTGAAAAAATACATATAACAATAACATTTAGAAATGGCGAAATCCCTTTGACGCATTGTAACACTTCAAGTGGCCAGGATGTTTTGCAGAAGCCCTAGCAATTGGCGTTGTTATACACACGCATATATACACAAAATAAATATGTAAACATACGTATATATGTATATATCTGGGGGGAGTTCAACAGGACCCAACAGCTGGCCACAGGTTGCGTTCCACATAGAGAAATGTGGGAGCCTGGGCTCCAAACACGGTCCACACTCCAGCCATATTTGTGGAACGCGACAAACAGCTGGCTAGGAAGAGGGGAAGAGGGCGCAGCGGGGAAGTGAACGAAAAGGTTAGGGGAAGAGCAAAGCCAGTTGCAAAGGAAATAAGAACACTTATACGTTTTGTTTTTAGTGGGAACAGCTGGAAATAGTTAACTAAATTCACTCGGCAAGCCAACTTATTTTCAATTTTAACTATTTTAAACTGAGTTCGGAAGTGCTTTTATTTTACTTTTCGAAAATTGTCATTATAATTGCACGCTGAACTAAAAGTCAATTCATTAAATTTACTACGCAAGTTTTTTTTTCGTTTTAATCCACCACCAAAATTAAAGCCATTTTTATCACCACATTTTTAAGACGCAATTTGTTCAAATGGCCGTTATTAACGCAAAACAAATAGCAAATACGTATAGTTTCTTGTTCAACAAGCCAACGTTTTGCTTTTGTTATTTTTCGAATTGCTGCCGCTGTTGCACACACACACACAAACACAAAAATGCCAAACACACACGCACAGCGAGGTGATACAAAAATGTCTGCTAAGAAAATTGCGATTTATCGCTGGGAAGTGCACGTCTTTCATATTTCCACCGCCTAGTCACGGTTCACCTAGCGAGAGAGGATTTTAAAAGGAACCTACTGTTTGTATTTTGTAAAGTTTTTGCACAATTTAATGACAAAATCAAAATATTTTATTTCTTACATGTTTTTCGTTTGCCGCAAGCAGTGTGACCGCATCTCGCGAGTGACAAATTCTGTACTGCCGGGGACCAGGGCAGCACACTAAACACGCATTGATTCGTTTTCTAAACTACCTTTGCTTTGTATTAACTACAAATGGTTTTAAGATTAGATATATGAAATCATATTTTGTTATCTTGTTTTAATACTATTTAATTAATCTTTAGGGAATACCTCGCGTAAAATTATGCTTTTTATCTTATGGAACTGCAAAAAGGGATTTATATATGGTACTGTGTCCCTGCTAACGATGAGCCAGGGCTGAAGGAAAACTATCAATCGAAAAACATCGATAGGTCTTGCCACAAATATCGATACGTCGTGCTAGTATTTTGCCACACAAAACCTTTGGTCACACTGCGTAGCACTTTCTAAAAAGACAACAATTTTCTGGCGAGCGGACGTGTCAGCGGAGAAAACGTTTTTGAATAGAACAGAACTGAAGAACAGAAGAGAACGAAACGTGACGGACAGCGGGGAAAGGTGGCAATTGAACGAAAGTGCCATACTGAGTGTGCGAGAAAAAGAGAGAGAGTGCGAGGAACCTGGGTATTGCCTGTGTGTGTGTAGTAGTTTAGTGTGCGTGTTGTGTGGGAGTTTGTGTACGAAGCGTGTGGCAAGGAAAAAACATCAAACATTATTCCAAGGAAATTTCCAGTCATGTCGGTGGAATCCTCCAGCTCGGCGGTCCAACAGCCGCCGTCGTCCTCGAACTTACCGCTCCTGGGCGACAACCAGGTGGTGGCCACAACCAGTTCCGCCTCCTCGGCCTCATCCTCCTCATCGTCGTCCTCCTCGTCGGTGGGCGCCGGCAATGTGGTGGGCGTGCCGCTGGACACGCAGAGCAGCGGAGAGCCGCCGGCCAAGAAACAGTTGTTGGACGGAGGGGGTGCCACCAGCAGCAGCGGCAGCAGTTTGCTTTCCAGTGCCGCAGCCGCCTCGGGAATGCACGAAAAACTAGCCCACCGCATCTCCAATGCCCTGTGCTGCGCCGTCTGCCTGGATTTGCCCAAGACGGCCATGTACCAGGTGAGTTTTTGGGGTATTTACAGCGGCTTGATCTCAAAGCCCTTGTAAACTAAAAAAAAAAAGAAGGAAGTGATAGCTTAAAAAGCGAAAAAGGAAAAAACAGCAAGTGCGCGTGTGTGTGTGCGCCTCATTCTGTATACAAACAAATCGTGGCAGCACAGCTGTAAGAGTAAAACACCTCTCTCCCTCTCTCCACCCTAGCAAGACACAGCTGTGCGAGAGTGAGACGTCTAGCTGGGGCGCTCTTGCATTATTCGCCTTGAAAACATTTAAAGAGTGCGAGGGGGAGAGAGGGCGGGCGCAACCGCAGCATAAGCAAGCCGACCCTCTCGCACTCTCGGCCAACTAATGCAGTTTTATTGCGTTTTAGAAAACAACCCCCCAAATTGAACCGTTGCATTTCACACTATGAATTATGACCCCCCATCTCTCTATCCCCCCCTTTCTCACTCTCTTTTGCGCAGTAACACTTACTGCAGATTTTCTGTATTGCGTCATAGAGTCCGTATTATGTCTTCCCCCATTGGCCTATTTTAAGTGGGAAGAATTCAGCGGAGCAATTCCAGCATTTCATTCTGTTAATTGTGCTTCCTCGTTCGTTTATTCATTTATTCGCTTCTTGGGCCAGTTCCCGCATTCTTTTTCATTTTATGCTATATGCGTCGTCATTGTTGCTGTAACTGACGTTGATTGAATTTAATGCTCATACATGTCCATGCCACATACATGTTTCAAATGCTGCAGGGGCGTAGGCCGAAGTGCAGCGAAAGGTCTCCAGCCTACATACATATATTAATAACCAACATATTATTTGTTTAATAACAAGGTTGCTTATTGACTTCGCTAGCCTCTAATATGGTATCTAAACATAACAGGGGCCACCTAACCCCTAACCCCCTACTGCTGCGCCTATGTGCCCACAGATCTTTTACGTAAGGCATATGTGTAGGTTGACATTGCTCTCTTTCTCTAACACACATGTGCCAAGGCAGCCGTAACTGCGTCATTGAAATCGGTTTTGTATTACGGTACAATGAAAAAGAACCGCTGACCCACACAGAAATAACAAAAAAATGAACGTGTTTTTCTATGCCCAAATAACATGACCTAACCACCGTGGATTGATTCATACAAAATGGCCAGAAGGAATTCGCTGAAACCCGTAGAAACTATTAATTAGCTAAAATAATTCCCGATTGTTTTCTTCGTTTTTTCATTTCCACTCCTCTTTATTAGCCTGTTTGTCTGTCTGTCTGCCTCTCCGTATGCATGTATGTATGTGCACCCTGCACACTCACACACACCCACTTTCAGATTTTAGCTCTCTGTTATTGTTTTGCTTTTGCCAGTGCGTTGCTGTTGTTGTCTCGTTCTTACCAATGTCGTGGCCAAATCAGCTGTTCGAGGCCTGGGGAAAATTGAAACGCCACTTTTGCCGATTTCAAATACGTAGCAAAAAAAAAAAAAAAAAAAGGAAATACAAGAAAAGTGTGTGTGCTACGCATATTTGTTATTGGAAATGCAGTGATGCCTCGGAAATTGCTGATGAATTTGTGGTATCAGTTTGCTGCAGGTTCTAAGACCTGTAATCTGGAAATAACTCGTTTTTCCAGTTCGGGTTCCAAGTGCATGTGTGTTTGTGGGGGAAAGGTATACCTGAAAACACACCTGAGTTCTTTTTTCCGCTGCCGTAGATCTTTCGGGCGATTTCCTTTTGAACACACTGTTGACGTTCGTTCTCCTTCTGTTTCCACTCTATCTACAAAAACACCATCAGCTGGGTTTTGTTGTGTCTGCGTCTTTCTGCTTTCTGTGTTATTGTTATCGGTTGGGGAAAACGTTAAAACGAGTTAAATTCCTTTGTGAATCTTGAGGATTTTCCATTAAACAATCTAACTGCCAGCAGGAGCTCCCTGCAGTTAGTCTAGGTCATAAATTGTCAATCAAAGAACACGAATTCATGCGTTCATTCAACTGCCAAGATACAGTGAAACATTCGAATACTCAGATATCTCACAAGATACACAAAGAACACAGGGAAAAATTGGATTCGAAAGTCAAAAGATTCCAAATGACCTAACAAAAAACCACATTTAGAGTTTTTCAGCCCGAACATTTGATAACATTCCTATCTCATGACATTTGATGTTTTGACGGTCAAATTTGTACATACATAATGCACATATATTTTTTAGGGGGAGTCATTTTATACATTCCCTTTAGGGTTTCATATCTGCAGCCTAGACAAAAGAACAACGATATCAGTCAAACCCGTATATATTTATTTTTGTATGTTTTACATTTTCGGGACGATGAAAATTTTCTTATGTGCACAGATACACAAGAAAAGCAATGCTTATCGCTCGAAACTCGCGACTCCGTCCACAAATAGTGCCCAGGGACTATCGCTTGCCTCCTCCGGAGCTGAATATTTCCCAAAATAGATATAAAAATTCCAAAATGAGAGAAACAAGCCCGCATTCCATGCAACCGAATTGTAAATAAACGCATGCGGCGACTTTTATGAAGGCTTCTTACAGCGGCGGGGTTGAGTTTCACTTCGGGGTATTCGACTTTATCTGGTCGTTATCGGTCCTTTATTCCCGACCCATCATCAATTGCTTGACCAACTCATGTTCGAAAACCAATTGAAAACACACACCACTACGTTGTAATTGGCTTAGAACGGAAAAAAGAAAAGTAACCACACTTTATGATAACTACGCTAAATTTAACCAAGAACTATCAACTATTTATGATTTCGATTTTGCTGCAGCCATTTTTAGATAACGTACCTCTCTTAATGATTAATATTAGTTAAGTGAATAATCACAATTTCGTAACCTTTGTAAGCACACGCAACAAAACATAAAAAAAGAAAAGAAACAAGATTGTAACCGTAAATGCTAAGTACATAGAACAGATTTCATAATAGCATTAAAGTTAAACCCTGAAATGTATCTTAAACTAAACAAACAAAAAAGAAACCCCAAAAAAAGAAACGTGAAACTGAATTCAATAAATTTGCAAAGGAGAGTGCAAACTTGAGAATGCAAAATAAAACCAAACTACAAAATAGCGTTTTTATTTCAACCAAAAAAATGAAACCACACACAACCCGTAGCCTCAAAGCTAAACATTTCCAAACCTCACCTCAGATCACCTCCCGCCAAGAACTCCACGCCTCGCCATCTTCCTCACCACAAAAACAACTTCAAAATAGATTCATTCATTCGAAAATCCCACCCAGAAACACCGCATAAACCACCCACCCCACATCCATAAAAACACAATACAAGTTCTCTGCAACAAGGCCGTATTTTGACTAATAGAAAACTTTTCTTCTTTTTTCTTTAATTGCAGGTTAATTTTCATTCCACTTTTGTTTTAGTTCTCAATCTCTTTCCATCTACCATTCGATTGTCTAGTCGTGAATTTACTAAAACTGCGTTTTCCTTTCTATCTGCTCTTTCCATTTGCAGTGCCAGATGGGCCATCTGATGTGCGCCGCCTGTTTCACGCATCTTCTGGCGGATGGACGGTATGAACCCACTCTAGAAACCAAGCTAAGATCCTTGCAAATGCCGCTACTAGCTCCAACTAACTAGTTCTCGTTGTTGTCCTTTTTAAATATATTTCAAACTTATTCTTTCCCTAGCTTGCGCGATCAGATTGCCACTTGCCCCAATTGCCGCGTGGAAATTTCCAAGAGCACTGCCTCGCGCAACTTGGCCGTGGAGAAGGCTGCCTCTGAATTGCCCAGCGAGTGCCAGGTGAGGCGGTTTATAATACCTACTCCATTTGATTACTTCATTTGCTTACTTTCGTCTGTAGTTCTGCAACAAGGAGTTCCCATACAAATCTCTAGAACGCCATGAACAACACGAGTGCCAGGAGCGCCCTACCAAATGCAAATATCATCGCATTGGCTGCCAGTGGCGTGGACCCTTCCACGAGAGTGAGTGCCTCTGCCCCAAATCCGTCGACAAGCCCGCATCAAAATTAATACTAATAATCCAACTAATTCATAGCCAACGAGCATGAGCGCAACTGCTTGCATCCCCAGAAGTCTGGATACGAGGTAATGGCGGCCCTGGAGGCCCACGATGAAAGGATCAAGGAGGAGAAGAAGATGTTTAACACACTGATTGACTTGCTTAGCTACGAGAAGATCATCTTCAATGGTGGGTGTGGCATAAAATCTGTCCTTATTGTCGTAAATCTTGTGCTTTCTGGAGTTATCTATTCACATTCTATCTTTTTAGATCTGCAAATGAAACCCTACCGCACAGACGAGTACGTGCACAAGCTCTTTTACGAGACGGCCCGCTTCTCGGCCTTCAATCAGCAGTGGGTGGTGAAGGCGCGCATCAATAACAGCCAGCGCGATCCGCATCAGTCCAACGAGCGGACCATCACCTATCAGCTGATCCTCAAGACCAAGACCAGCACGCCCATGAGCATACATTTCTTTGCGCTGAAGGGCCCGTTCTCCGACATGAAAGTTTCTACGCAGATATACAAACACGAATTCACCGAGACGGTGAGAATAACAATATTCTTAATAAGAACTGTTGACTAGTCATGAGCTTCCTTTTTCGTTTTCCTGCACTTTCAGAGTACCGAAAGCGAGTACTATGTCTTGCCATTGCCAGATGGAATCGGGGGTAGCGGCTCAAGCGAATGCAACCGAATGCTGGCCAACAAAGGCATTAACTTCCGGTGAGTAATAATCAACAGCCTTCTGAAAGCTGAAATATAATAAAAACCTACTTTTGCAGCCTGCTCATGTTTCTGCTGAACAAGTAAACATTCATTCGCTGCGCAGCGAATGAAATTTTCAAATTAGCTTAAGTTTGTTGTTTCAAACTCTTGAATGTGCAAAACCTAGACATAGTTGACTTATATTTTCTATCAATGTATATGTAAAACTTCGAAACGGAAACCACGAGCCTAGCCTAACAGAGTACCGCTTCCCGATAATCCACAAACCTTTCACAGAAACGTCGAAACATATTTCAATGAAGTTCAAGAACACGCAGACGTAACGCGGTAGGTTGTAACCTAAGTTTAGTGTAGATTCGCCTACATTTTGTACATGAGATAGCGCCATTTTATGGAGACACTTTTCAATAGCTATGTTAACTTTACTGTTAGTGCTGGTGGCGAAATGGATACGATCGATGGACAAGACGACAGATGTGTGTTTGACTAGCGTTTAATGATCTCACAGAAAGGAGCCAGCCCACGCTAACCCGATAATACCGATGATAACCATAAAATAGCTGTAGATTAACTTTTGGGACGCAAGGACCGCGAGTCCTCGGCTCCGTTTTCACTGTAAGAAGAACAACACCAAGTTGAAATTCGAACTAAGCAAGCGCACTTAAAGCGCTCTATCATATAACGTTTGCTATAGATTAATACGATCACATGCCCGTGCCGAAGAAAACAAAAATCCGCAAAAACAAAAAACTCGAGTCCTCACGTTCAAATCTTGTCTAATCCTCGTTCTGTTGACCATCTTACAATTAAATGCTTACGACTTACATTCGTACATGTAATATTTATATGCATCGTTAAATGATAACTATACCTAATGCATATATAATAAAGATACTTCTTAATAAACAAAATCGAGCTGGTTTTCTTTTTGGAGCAACCCATTTGAGCTGGAACATTAATCACATGGTTTATGTTCTGTGCACGTTTATTTACAATGTTTAATTGGCGTTTTTCAGTACCAAAACTAATGGGCATAATTTAGGTTTTTATTCTTTGAGGTACTCAACGGATTAATCGACCTTCTGGTATCATGTTTTCGTCATCTTTACAATCTTTGTATTGTTTATGGTTGCACTTAAAAGTAATGACCTAGAATATAGTGATTTAAGGCTACTATTCATCGTCATCCTCCTCCATCGCCTGGTACTTGTTGCGCACATGGGAGGCAATGACTTCGCGGGGATTCTTCTTGAAGTTCTTGTCCTTGATGAGCTTCTCGAAGGACTTCACGCTGTTGACCATGTCGGTGCGTTTTTTCCGTATCTTCTCGTTGGCACTCAGTGGAATCTCTGGTTCTGTAAGGGCTGCCTGTTCCGAAACATCCTTTTGCTTGCTTTTCACCAGTTTGTATATGTCCTGCAGCGAGGGCAGGGCGTCCCGGAGTGGTTTTAGATCGCCGATGACCTTGGTCTTCTCGCGATTCTTGCGCGCCTGCTCCTCCTTGCGTTCCTTGCGCGTTTCGGCGAATCGTTTGAGCAGCTTCTTGTGCTTCGCCTCGGATTTCTCCTTCTTGGTGGTCGTCTTCTTGGGCGTGAGAGTCTTGTGGAGGAGCCGATCCTGGCGTAGCTTCGCCTGCATGTCTTGCGTCTTTTGCTTGGCCGCCCCCACCACGCTCTTCGCCTTGGCCCTTATATTTTTCTTGGTCTTTGCCATTTTACTGCGATTTCTGCGGCAACGAAATCAAAACAAACGTGCAGCGTGCTAAACTAAAGAACCAGTGTCACCACACTTGCTATCGTTAGCGATAACAGTCACAGCGCTTCGTTATCGGTTATCAGTGGGAAGCGGATTGATAAATTTATTTGAAATGTGTTATTAAGGTTCTAAGGAAAATCAATTAAGCCCCATCAATTATTTCCCAGCGCAAATATATAAAAAAATCAGCATTTTATTTTACCGCTACCTAGTCTTTTAAGTGACTAATGAATAACAAAAAGAAATTAATAACAAGAAAGCTTTAACCTAATACCAGTCACTGAACCGTGCAATTGTCCGACTCCATTTGTCCATCCGGCTGGCAATTGTTTTGTACTGCTTGGGACGCGGCTCAAAGACGCGCTCCACTTGTCGGAAACGTTTGAGATCCTCCACATCACGCCAGATTCCGTGGTTAATGCCCGCCATGAATGTGGCGCCCATAATGCTGCTCTCCGGATTCTCCGCCCGCTCCACTCTTAATCCGCTGAGATCCGCCAGGAATTGGCAGACGAAGTCGTTGCGGGAGACACCGCCATCAACCCTGAAACATGTGAACATAGGCTCAATATCAAAATGCTTGGGATATCAAATATCTAGAAATACCTAATCATATGAAGCTTCTGAGATGTTTCATTTTCAGCGGTCTCGATCAGCTGCACCAGACGGAATACTATGCTCTCGAGCAGAGCCCGCACCATGTGGGCCTTTGTGGTGGACGGACTGAGGCCAATAAAGCCACTTGCTGACCGATAATCGTTCACTGGCGGCTGTCAAAGATAAGATGGGGATTAGCTAATCGCGAATCAATTGCAAGTGCTTGTGTAGCTAACCCCCAGGCCACTGAAGGCGGGCATAAAGAACACATCGTTCGTGTCTGGGACAGACTCTGCAATATCTGAGGTATTTGCTGGACTATCGAAGAGCTCGCACGATTGCGCCCAAGTGACCACGGTGCCAAAGTCATGGGATGCTCCCTCAATGCAGTAGACGGCTCCCTGTTGTCTGGTTGGTTTCTTGAACTGCCATGCCACCAGTGGATACATGCCAGAGATGGCAGCTTGACAACGATCGCCCGTGATCAAATTTAGAAACGCTCCCGTGCCCATTGTGACCTTGACGTCGTTCTTCTGGAAACACTGGGAGCCCCAAATGGCAGCGGTTTGGTCACTCAGGGAGGCTGCAATAGGTATCTCTGTGTTGGCCCAATCCGGACCGAAGGCTGTAGGATGCACATGTCCGAAGGCCTTGTAACCGTTGTCCACTACACGTGGCAGGATCTTCGACTGCAATGGAAGCACATATATAAGCATCGAGCTTTTAGGCGGATATAACGCACTCACATTGATGCCAAATAGCCAACTTATAAGCGGCGACCAGCTGAGCGTAAAGGGATCGTACAACCCCGTCGCCGTACTTGAGGTTACATCGGTTATGTGCTCCACATCTTTATCGCGACTACTGCCAGTTCTTAGCTTGTGCAGGATCCACGAGTCCAGCAGCTCCACGCGTGCCTTTTTCTGCATCAGAGCCTGCTTCAACTTCTTGTTGTTCATTATTTCGAAGAGCAGCCTTGGTGTGACCTGGCCATTCATCAGCTTAAGGACGCTGCCGGCGAGGAATCGTGACTGGCGGGTGAGCAGGAATAGGGCATACGACAACCAGTTCATCGAGCTCTTCGTCCAGCTGGTATTCCACTGGTCTACCAGCTCATCGGCACGCAGGTCCTTCCAGGTGATGAAATTGTGGTAGTACTCGCCAGTGCGATGATCCCACGTGAGGAAGGTGCACCGCTGCGTGGAGATGGTCAGGCAGGTGATGTCCGGGGGTGTTAGCTTGGCATCTGCAATTGGTATCAGGGGTAAGGCAGAATTCTAAAGGAGCATCTTCATATTCACAATCGAGCTGCACCAGAAAATTCAATATCAATTAATAAATAATCTCAAAAGTAAGCAATTCTGTATCCAAGGTTTCCGGTGTACATATATCATATATTTTTTAAATAGCTTTCACATAAGCTTATAATTAATTTATTGAACCATTCGTCAAACCTGTTGGGGTTTTTAAAGAAACCCCGTACTTACTTTTCACCGCCTGCGTTATAACGTTAACGATTTTGCGCCACAAACTCTCGGGTTCGATTTCGAAATGGCCCGGCTGTGGGTTCAGTAGCTCCACCTAATTGCGCCAAAGGTCGTAAAGGTTTTGCTTAATTAACTTTGCACCGAGGGTCACTTGAAGATCGAATCACTTACGGCATCCACCGCCGATCCCCGGACCACGCATTGTTCATCCAGAACGAAGCTCCGCACACAGGTGGTGCCCACGTCCAGGGCGAGTATGAAGGCAGGTGATCCTGGTCCCGATTGCCAACCCTTGTGTGCGCCTGATAGTTTTGCTGTTACGCTTGGAGGTGCCGACATGTTTCCCAGCGCACGCTTCTTCGATCACTGGGTTTGGGACGCTGTTGCGCCGAACTGGCGCGGCGACTTATCCATTTCGCTACTGCTCTGGCTAGTGCTATTGTTATTGTTATTCCGGCGGGGTCTCATAGTGCGCGGTTCAGATTTCCTTATCAAGTGCTCGACTTTTGTTTTTGTTTCGTCTCCTCCAGATGATAACTCAACTGGTTATCCAGAGTTGCCACCTGCTCTTGCCTGCTGCTAGTCAACTGGCTCGAATGTAGCTAGAAACTAGCTAGAAGGACAAGGGATTTTTGCCTATGTAAGCAGCAGATTGTTGGGTACAAATTTCGAAATATAAAAAGGAATATAAGCATTGCAATAACTTCTAGTATTCTAGCACAAAACAATCTGTATTGAAAGGTTGTTAAATGGTTGAACTAATTGTTGATATAATTGCAGCATGCTGTAATAGCTGAAACGGCCAACAGTAAGAGTAATGGCTAACACATAAATGGTTATAAATATCCCTTTACTGATTCCCACCTCAGTGGCAACTCTAATCGGCGCAAATTTCAAATCATCAAAACCAAAACAATCAGGTGATAAGGCCTACCACCACGAATCGTACAGGATTGTGATTCTTATCACTGGTAGCGATAAGCCCCTAAATTTAGAGCACTATCGACACTTCCCGCAAAACGATTACTCACGTGTGCCGTGCAACACCGATCTAATCTTGGCGACGCTTTTATTTTTTTAACAACTTTATTTGCTGTACACATAGACACTTGCATATATATTATGTATACATATAGGTACGAATCAGGTATATAGATACTACACATACAAGATAAACCTTTATCTAAAATAGTTAGCATTGTACTAATAGTTGTGTCCAATAGAATACATTTTACAATCAACTTGTTAAACACATCGATTTACAGATAGAGTACTGTACTGGATAAAAGCTCTCAGAAGCCTCCTTGCAAACTTAGGTACTGGTTTCGGTTCTCTTTGGAGATATGTCTACGCCAAGCAGAAGCTTCGTCGGATGCTGAATTCGAGGCGGAAGCCTTACATGTCCGTTGGCAGGATGTCAGGGATGAGGTACTGGCACAGCTCGACCTCGTCAGTTACAAACTTGACCTTCTTGGCGGTATTGTCGTCCAACAGCACGCGAATGGCCGGCCAAATGGTGGAGAACAAGCCGGGCGAGTTGATAATCAGACAGACGCCCAGGCGCTCCGGAAAGTGCTTGCCCAGCAGCCAGATGAGATTCTGCACAAGCTGGTAGTCCATGCAACTGGTGCTGAACTCGGCCAGATCGAAGACAATGCACAGGCGGTCGGTGACCTCCTCGAAGCACTTCTTGCACGCCTCCTCCAGGTTGTAGACGATAAAGCGCGTCAGCTCGTCGATGTCCCGCTCCGAGCTGTGGTTCTTGGCCGGAATGTAGATCACCGGACGGCCGACGCAGTCGCGGTGGCGCAGCAGGCGGGCCTTCTTGTCCAGTTGGCTGCGGTCCATCTCGCCCAGCTTCTCTACGCCGTACGTTTCGCGCCACTTGTTGGTCTTCAGAATGGCCTGTAGTGGGAAAATGCTGGTCATATAAGTTTCAAGGATCCGCTACTGATGAAGTTACTATCATTGAGCCAGAGCTCTGATAGTATCTTAAATTCCTTCACATTACATTACAAATAATTTTAGAAAAAATTGAATTTCATATGGGCTATGATATGGATGATATCATAAGCAGTCCATGGATTTATAACCATAAAAGGTTAAGCTTGTTACTGCATTATTTAATCTGAGCTCAAATGGGCTAATAAAGGTGGAAATGAGTTTGAGACCTGGTGGAAGGGTATTCAAAGCTGAGGCTCTGTAGGTTTTCAAATGATAGCGTTATTGGGCATTATTTGCGAATTGCTCACCTGAAATGCGTCATCTGTGGTCTTAAAGGCGCGCAGATAGCGGCGCAGCGAAAAGTCATTATGATACTGCTTTGGATCCGCATCCACAATCAATTTCATGCGCTCCTTCAGATCCTTGAAGTCCTGCTCGTTAATTGGCGCCAGCTCCTCGGACGACATATTGCACGGCTCGAAACGGTTACTGAGCGGAATGTACAGTGCGATTCCGTGCTGGAGAGTCGCGAACTGGAATCGGAATGTGCTGATACTGTGCGAAACGCAAGCCGAGCTGTTTATTTTTCCTCGGAAATGTTTTTTCACAAACGGAACGGATTTGTTTTTTCTTTTTTCCGACCAGTGTGACCGGCTAGTGTTCTTTAAAAGCTGTCATTTACGTTCCACAAAAATACTAGTTTCATAAATGAAATACCGAAGCGTTAACGTTATCAGTGGGAACCGTTACACTTCAATAAAAGCTCAAATGATAATATATATTGGGAAATATAAAACTAAACTGTAAGATTAGCTAATCATTAGAAGAAAACATTGACAATTTAAAGTTGATTATTACATTTTTATTTTAAGCTCAAAGATTTTATTTAGACTTTCTATAAAGATGTTATTTCTTATTTCCTTCTTTAAAATGGGGAATTGTAAATGATTTAGCCCCTTTCTAAGATTTTCGAACTCATGAAGATTTATTTGTAACCATTTTGAAACAGTTTGAATACATATTTCATTTTGTTACACAATTAAAAAAAAAAAGAATAAAATAAATAAGACTGCATCACTATTTTAAACAGTCGATACAAATAAATTCACGTGCACTTCATATGGCACACGTTTTATATACAAACATGTTAAATATTTCGTAAATAGCTATAATTGTGTTCAAAATGTTAACAATACATGATTGGTTGGCAGAAGCAAGCCACAGAAAACACAAAATACGAAGAATGCACAACTCTCTCATATCGGCCACCTTGGACCCTAAGTATTAGCTACAAATGCAGAGATTCCTAAATTGAGATTTCGATTGCTTGATGGTCTTCAGTAAGTTCCAGCCTCTGGGAGACCGGGCTGCACTCCTACTTTGGCACCATGACGCGGGCTATGCCCGGCAGGACTTCAGCTTGGAGTGGCCCGAACTCGACGCGTTCTCCGTCGACCGTGATGATGCCGTGATTGTCGTGTGGCTCCAGGCGGAATGCTCGCACTGGCAGCACCTTCACGTGGTCGTTGTGTGCCTCCGGCAGGTGGGTGCCGGAGCTCATATTGTAGAGGAAGCTCAGCAGTTGCGGGCGGCTGATGCCGGCGCGTATGAGGATTAGGTAAATGGTGCCGTCGTTTAGCTGGGCTTTGGGCGCAAAGTGGCAGTCAATGCCCAGATGGGTCTGATACACGGCATGCATCATAACGAACTCGCCCTCCTCCACCAGCCAACCCTGATCCTCGGGCAGAGGCTCGTTCAGATCCGGCAGCTCGCTCGCCGGACCGTAGTTCTGCTGCCTGTTCTCTAGCGCGGCGGCGGCTAGGCCAGCGAACTCGCTCTCATCCGCCAGACTGTGGTAGATGCTCTCCGATATGGAATAGTAGAAGCTGCGCCGCGATCCCCCGGACAACCAGCTGTCGCACCTCGAGCGGAACGACTGATTGATGGACGTCTCCAGGGAGATCACGTCCGCAAACTCCTGTGGCAGGTACTCGACACTGGAATGATAGATGGACGCCGGCCCATTCAGCATGTCGATGTGCGTGTTGCAGCTCCGGCTGCTCTGCATTCTCCGCTGGGCAGCATAGCCGCTAGCGCTCTGGGTTGCGGATACCTGATGGTCCGTGAGGAGATAGCTGATCCGGCCATTGTAGGTGCGCAGATTCACCAGACGGTACAGGGTCCAAACGGTGAAGCGCTGGTAGCCCAGCAGCCGGATGCGCTCGCTCTCGATGTCCACGTCCGAGATGAGACCCCAGCCGATGGACAGGAAGGAGTAGAGGGAGCGACTCTGCAGCTGCACGCGGACCACGTCCATGGGTGAACTGCGTCCACTAATTACGGTCAGAGCAGCTCCTAGTACTGGCTTACTGAAGTATGGTTCGCTGGGGAAAGAGGTTTCAAGTGAATAGGTTTCAACACAAGCCGGATAATCTGATTACGACCAATAGATCGGATCGAATAGACGAGACACCTGAGTATTGTATAAGAGGCTATAAACATTCTTCTCTATTAACAATAGGTTAAAAATACCCTTTTATCGGGAAGTTAGGCTGTAAACGAACATAAAGCAAACGGAAATATGGCAATACAAATAAGATTTATAATTGCAATGATATGCCACTAAATGTTTGCCGCAATTAGGGCAATTACCTAATGATCGGGCTGAACTGATATGGAAAGTTAACTTTTAGGGGATATCCCCACTTAAAAAACAGTAAACCCAGTTTTTCTTATACTCAGAATGTAATTTAATGATGGAAAAACATAAAGGGAATCTATTTTCTGGCAAAGTGCAAGTCTAGACTCTCGAGGGATTGTTTTACACGAAATTTGATGATGCACATGAATATGAATATGAATTGGCTATAAAATTGGAAATCAGACAAAGGTAACATACTTGTAACAGTGGGCAATGGACCGGGCCAATCCGTTCCCGGAGCCGCAAGGAATGATTCCCAGTGCGAGGTGAGGCAGAACGTGGGCCCAGTCTTGGCGCTGCAGCAGTCCATTGACAATTTCGTGGAAGAGACCGTCTCCGCCGACAGCCACCACGCAGCACCAGGCGTCCAGGCACCTGGTGCTCAAGAACTCGATGGCGAAGTTGGAATGTTTGGTTACATACAGGTCGTAAGGCACCTCGGCCTCGTTCAGCACCGGCGTCACGTGCATGTTGAAGACCTCACGAGCATCCCCGGAACCGGATTTGGGATTCAACAGCACCAGCACTCGGCGACGTCGCTCATCCGCCGTCGGTGCCACAAAGATCTCCTCCAGCGTGCGATGCAGCTGCCAACGGAGGGACCTATACCATCGATCCGCCTCCCTCATGTTGTCCTCGAAGGTGTCGAACGACCTGAACCGCAGCGTGAGCACCGTTCGCTCCCTGTGCAGCTCCGACCGCAGGCTCCTCTTTTTCAAAACATAGGCAAACACGTAGAGGAAAGCGCTGGCATCGCCGCCATCCGATGGTAGATTGTCTCGGCTATTGGTGCTGCATTTGCTTGGTGTGGTGGCAGTGCGATGATGATCGCCGGACGCCGAAATGGCTGGCGAATTGGGGTTACCGGAGCTGCACGCACAGGCGCCAGACATCGCCAGGCGCCGGCTCTTCTTGGGCCGCATACAGCGAGCACCCACAATATCTGAGATCCGGACATGCTGCTCCTTGACAATGCTGCCGCCCGGCGACTCCCGCTGCAGGGTGAATCCCGTGGCGTCCAGGCGCACCCGAAATACGTGGCTGCCCTTCTTGCGCTGGCTGGTGTAGAAGGTGTCGCTCACGTCGTGGCCCTCACCCGGATCCTCCGCCCCCTGGGGCGTGGCCCTGGAACTGGCCGAGCTCGGGCTGGTGGTCTTATCAAGAGATTCGCTCATTTCGACTGGAGATTCGGCTGCCAAGCAGCATGTTTCAGGGCTTTTGTGTCCAGGCTTTTGTGGCTCCCTTATCATCCAATCATGGCCGCAGTGTTACCGTAGGTGGCAGCCACAAAAATACCAACTGGCACAATGAAACTCTAAATCCGTTGGCAAGCTAAAACAAACCGGTAGGTATTAAAATAATTACTCGCAATAAAATATATTCTACAATTATTATTATTCAATTTACACTGCTCTATTAAAAGCTTTTTGTAAATTTTTTCGATATCCGCATAAATACCGAAATGCAAGCAGGAAGAAAGCAGTATTTTTCGTATGTTGTATTTGTGCGGAATTTTTCGGCGTTCACAACGCGGTCAACTGCATTTAGTGTTTTGTGAACTGTTCAAGAATCCGATCCGAATATAGTTGCTAACAATAACAATGATGCAGATGAGCGAGTACAAGGTGCTCTCGCAAAATGCACCGCAGGACGAGAATGGAGCAGTGGTCCTTCAGCCGCAGGCGGCGAATGCCAGAATCAATGCCAATGGAGCTGGTGCGTAGTGATGGACATATATGGATTAGTCCCACTGTTGAATTCCATCGCTCAGATGGACGTAGTGGGATGCGCGCGTCTGTGTGTGCAAAAGGCGGAAGCGCCGTCGCCTCTTTCTTGGCGTTGAATACAGCAGGGGGCAAGGCATTAGCACCCAGTTATTCTCAATCGATAGTTAACGAAACCATAAAGCATAAGTTAAAAAAATAAATTATATTATTATTATTATGAAGGGAACAAAAGTTTGTAGAAGTTTGTGGAAACTCCTAGCAGTGTCCCTAATCAATACCCCTATCCATACATAAAGGAAGAGCATTTTATATATGTACATATATAAATATAAATACAGAGATAGCTAATCCGGAACAACGCCCCATTGCAGAGAACTGGATGTCGATACCCGTGGGCATGCCCAACTGCCCGCAGGGACTGGAATACCTGACCGCCCTGGACCAGTTGCTCGTGTCGCAGAAGATCGAGAATCTGGAGCTGATCACCGGCTTTGAGACGGAGAACCGCTTCAAGGTGAAGAACTCACTGGGCCAGAATGTGTACTTCGCCTACGAGGAGAGCGACTGCTGTACACGCAACATGCTTGGCCGGTCGCGTCCCTTCGAGATGAAGATCCTGGACAATTTCCAGAACGAGGTGCTCCACCTGTACCGGCCCTTCAAGTGCGACCTCCTCTGCTGCTTTCCCAGCTGCATGAACGCCGTGGAGGTGTCGGCGCCACCCGGCCAGGTGATCGGAAGCGTGGAACAGGTCTGCACCTTCATGCGGCCCAAGTTTAACATTAAGAACACATTCGGCGACACCGTCCTGCAGATCGAGGGACCCCTGTGTCCCTTCAAGTGTTTCAGTGATACCAACTTCAAGGTCAGTGTGCAGCCAACAAGTGGTTATTCATGGCTCTCGATCTCGATTCCCGTGCTCAAACAAGTGTATACACACACAGCAGCGGTCAGTGGATTAGCATGTAAAGTTGTCGCAACGCAGATGGCTTCTATCAGTTGACTTTTCAGCTGGGTCGAAGTTATATAAAATTCTTAAATGAACAGCACGAGGCATCCACTTAATTGTTTGAACATTTATAATTGGATATATCTGTGGCTCCGGTCAATGTCTCATTCACAAATGCGATGCTATTAATAGCACCCACACTAGTTTAAATTTTTAATTATATATGTGCTTAAAAATATTCCTAGATGTTGCTTGATATTTAAAACCCCCATCAATTTATACATTTTATGGCCAGAGTATCGAGGAGTATTTGTATATCTAAAAGCCCTTTTACTGACCACTGCTGTGCACGTAGAAAAGTACAGAAACTGCAGTCCGAGGCAGTGACGTCATGGGTCGCCATGCCTGACTGTCCAGAGCGAATCAATTAACTGCGATGCCGCGAACTGCGTACCGATTAATGCGAAACGCAAACATCTCTCGCCCCCTTGCCCACCCTTTACTCAGGTTTTGAGCGCCAACAATGAGGAGATCGGGAAAATCACCAAACAATGGTCCGGACTGGGGAGGGAGCTGTTCACCGATGCGGATTACTTCAGCGTCACCTTCCCGCTGAATCTGGATGTTCGCATGAAGGCGCTTATATTCGCAGCGCTCTTTCTGATTGTGAGTATATCAATTTTGGGTATATCAACAGACAATACAAGTCAGATACATCATAGAGTGAAATATAACATATGGCACTGAAATATACTTCCTACTTTCCTGCTTTGATCTCTGCTGACTTATGCTTTGTTTATTCCAGGACGCGGTTTACTACGAGGAGTAGGCTTTCGATGGATCGAATTTTTGAAGAACAAACATTATTATCGCCGACTGTTTTTTGGTTCGACGTGTAACACCGTCATAGCTATAAGATTTTCATAACCCCTTATTTGATTAATGTTTCCGGGAATCTGAACTGTGCAACGCTTTGATCGATATGGAATCTCCCCAGCAAAAGGAATCTCCCGCACAACTTCGATCTGAACCGCAGTTGCACCTTCGTTTTTTTTATGGACCTCGGTATTTGGCATTTACAGCACACCACAATATAGCACACAGTGACAACGCACAAACCGGAAAACAGACTACACACAAAGAATCAGACGAGAACGAGTGCCTTATGACATCCTAGTTGTTATTGTCGTCGCCCCGCCCCGTTTCCCAGATTTATATACCTCGACATACCTAGCTTTGTTGTACCCAGAGGTCAGAGCACAGGAATACTAAACTGCAACCATGGCGTACCTAACTTATTTACTATTACCTATTGAATATTACATATATTTTTGTATGAGACTAATTGCAATCGAATTTTTACCCATTATTGTGGCCTCGTGAGCCAGCTTTTAAGGCATTTTGAGATCGATTCGATCTCCAACTTTTTGGTGCCTCTCCTGTGGCGCCGCGCAAATTGCATCACTTTCACATGTACTTCATCAATTTATTTATCTCTCAGTTATGCTGTAAAATAAACAAACTATATTTTGTACAAAACAAATGCGTACCATTTGCATCGGTGGCATTGCGGATATGGACTTTCTGTACAGAGGACTCTAGCGATTGTTCGTTTGTGTCGTGACTCAGTCGTGAACATTGGGAATGTAACTGGGCTGGGCTGCTAAAGTAATGTGCATCTATCTGTGCCTAGTTATTCTTGGCAAAGTACTTCGTTTTCTCCTCAGGATTGGGAACGATCTGTAGCAGTAATAATAATTTTTTCAGTAGGGGTTACTTTGGTCATAACTTTCACTAACTAACCGTATCGGCACCTGGTCGCCAACCTGCTGGACAAACCTCTCCGTGGGTATCCGTATACTGGAAGGCCTGAACCAGGCGAATAGTCTCATCTACAGAGCGTCCCACGGGCAGATCATTCATGGTGATCTGTCGCAGCACTCCGGTTTGATCGATGATGAAGAGGCCACGCAGGGCATGACCGCTGGACTCCAGATAGACGCCGTAGTCCTTGCTGATCTTGTGCGTCAGATCGGAGAGCAGTGGAATCTTCACGTTGCCCAGGCCGCCCTCCTTGCGCGGCGTGTTGATCCAGGCCAAGTGGGTGAAGTGCGAGTCCACGCTAACGCCAATCACCTCGGTCTTGATCTTCTTGAACTCGGCGATGCGATCGGAGAAAGCTATGATCTCCGTTGGGCAGACAAAGGTGCTGAAATGGCAATGAGAAATACAACTTACTTATTGAACTCCATGGACCAAGTGGACGTACTTACAAGTCTAGTGGGTAGAAGAGTAGCACCACATATTTTCCCAGATACTGGGAAAGCGATAGCTTCACAATCTCCTTGTTCACTACGGCAGTGCCTTCGAACTGGGGAGCTGGCTTGGAGACTGTGCAAATAAAGGTAACAGCGACTTAGTAATGATCCCTGCTTGTATCTACTCAATGAAACTCACTGACTGCCTTGGTGTATTGCAGCTGATGGTCGCCCTTCGGCTGATCGGGATAAACAGAGCCGCCAGCGAAGGAGTAGCACGATTCACTATCTTCCGGCTTGGCAGCTCCAGCAAGTGCCACGAACAGCAGTAGGACAGATAAGTACTTGGACATGACTGGGCTGAAACGAGATCCACGTATGTATATTGTATATTGCTATTGGATTCGGCCTATACGGTATTTATGACACGCAAACTTTGCAATTATTGCCGCCTCTTTATACATATTTATAATAAACACGAGTACAGTGGTCAACAATTTATGTAATCTTATTCTTTTATATTATAAGTCAATGGTTATCATTATCCAAGAGTAAAGATATATAATTTAACAAGCTAACTAGAAACAAAACTTAATGCTGGTGCTGATTAATGCTGATTTTAAAGAGAAAATACTTCTTCCATGTAGTAAATCCCTATTCAGTTCGTGCAAGCCGGTGTTCACTGTACGCACATACCCTAAATTCGAACACGCCCACAACTTGTAGCCACGCAGTCAAAAAAGCAACTATTGAGCAAAACTTCAATTGATTTGGGTAGAGCGCGCTTATTGTTGCTGCGCTTCCGAAAAGATAAGCTTATCAATTTCATTCACTTCACTGGTAATATATTTTATAGTTGTCAGCGTGTAACTGATTTAAACAAATAGTTTTCAGAACAACTAAAATTCCAGTGCCAATGCGATTGCCTAGCTCCGTTTTAATACTTATTTTCAGTTGCAGGTAAAGCAAACTTGCCTTAAACACTCATACAAACGCACAGCTGTTACCGTTTAAGGGCTATAATTAACTCTTTTTGTTTTAATAACAAATTGTTCTACCGGCATAAGTGTGGCCGTAGCACGCAAAAATACCACCATGCTGAAACCACTTTGCCAGTGGTTCAGTTCAGCATTGCCAACATGAATTAAATTTTAAAACAATATTTGAATATTCATACTGAATATTATTTTAAAGTAAATACCTGGACTATCAATTAAAACACTAAATCGATTAACTTTGACTTACCCTATAAACTTTATTAAAATATATATATCAATATATAAATTGCTCGCGCTTAAAAATTAGGGTTTACGGCTGGAGTTAAAACAACACGTACATATGTCTCTCTGCATGTGTAATTGCTACGACCAATAAATATAGATATTTCTCTCTTACGTCCTAGATGATATAATATGCATTGCATTCGTATCATGCATTCTCTAAAAACTACAACAAATTGAGCAAAAGTCTGTGTTAATTTCACAAAAAGCGAACATTAAAAGTACATTGCTTAGCATGCGAATTACTAATTTACTTTGTTAGCTTTGATTGAGAATTGTTTTTGTGGGAGTTAATGGTATTGTATTGTTGTTGTTGATCTTCATGTTGTGGTTGCTACAGCATTATTGCAGATGGGGTGAGAAAAATGCACCTGGCCTTCGTCCGGGCCGCGGTCTAGCTCTCCCAGACTTCGTCCCGCTGTTTGGCAGCTAACAGTTTGCGTTCTGAATGGAAAGATAAGGCATCAGATTAATATGAGACCAAGGGAAGCCGCCCCACACTTGTTACAAATCGAGAATGTCCTTGACCCAGTTTACTAACAGAGCTAGCACTCACCTTTGGCTTCACGTAGTACCCGCCGCTCGTTCTCCCGTTCTTGCGGCGCTGTGGGCAGTTTTACTCCCAAAGCACCCGATACCAGTCGCCGGGCCAAGGCCGTGCAGGTTTCCGGACGCTGGCGATACGGCTGCAGCGACACCGCACCGGCTTTCTTCGCCTTCAGTCGTGACTCCAGAGTGGCCTCCGCAAGGGGCTTCAACTTGACAAACGGATGTCCCATCGTCAGCACCTCAGCAGCTGTGCAAGAAACGTTCAATTTCATTACGGAACCAATCTCCGGTTGAATGTGTATCCACTCACCAATGCGTGAACTGCTAAACACAGCCAGGGCATGGGTATCGTCCACCCACTTGATGTCGAAGCCACTGCCCCTGTACTGGGCGAAAAGCATGAGCAGGTCGGGTGTTTTGAACTCCACTGGGAAATTGGACACCTCCAGAACGTGAGGAAACTCCTCTTCGTTGAGCAGTTGCTGTTTAATGTGAAAGACCTGTGCGGATTGTAGCATACAGTGTTGGATGTTATGATGCTAGTTAAAAAGTTATATCTACTCACCGTATAGTCCATTTTGGGCAGCTCTATTTTGCACTTGCCCACGGATTCACTCAGTTCCTGGAGTATTTTGGGATCCAGACAGTCGCCGCTCTCGTCAAACATCTTCTCCCAGTCGTCCTCGTCCTCCTCGTCATCGTCTTCGGTGGTGCTGTCTGCAGGTGGTTTTGCTGTGGCTGATGCTTGCGGGAATGGGATGGCCTTAGTTGCCGGTGTGTCTATTTTCTCCGGAATCTCCAGCACATCTGAGTTGAAGGTTTGTTTCATGATGCGGCGATTGCTGCGATTGATTTCCTGCAATTTTTTTGAAAATAGTTAATTCCTTTCAACTATTCCCAGTGGCAGATCTTACCTTTGAGGCTCGCTGCAACTCGCGCACATCGTTATCACATTTGGCCGGCTCCTCGCCATTGGTGCTCCTGGCCGCCACCACATCCTCGATGCGCAGTGGAGACGATGGCTGGTTCTTGCCATTGCTGGCTGATTTGTTGCCATTGCCTGGCTTTGTACGCTGGGCGCCGCTCATGATCTGTGTATTAGAAGGTAAGCGTTAATATAAGTTTGAAAATTGAGTATTACTCCGAAGGCTATTCATAAATATTATTGTAATTCAAAACAGGGTTTTAGCGACTGTTAGTTTAGTTCTGTTCAGGTTTTCATACACCCACCTCCTTATCACAGTCCGCTGGCTTTGCCGGTCGGCGTTCTTCGTTGGATTGAGTATCGTTCTCAGATGCTGATATAACGAGTACAGTGGCGTTATCGGCCGCTGTTGGTCCTGATAGAGCTGTCGATTTCTTTCCGCGTTCTCTGCGCTCCCGATGCGATTTGGTTTTCTTCGATTTGGACAGCGGCTGACCGTTGACGTCGTCCGCTTTGCTCGGGTGTGTATCTGCAACTGGCGGGGATTCCGGCGCTGCTGTAATTGTTGCTGTGACTGCTGCTACGACTGCTGGTGTTGTTGCAACCGCTGTCACTGTCGCCGTTGTTGTTGTAGTCGGTGGTGTAGTTTGACTGCGACGTGCCCTTGGCACATAAACCGCTCGATCGGGACGGCGTTCACGACGGGTCGCCGCTGCTGCTGCTGATGCGTCCGTCTGTTGCTCTCTGCGAAAGAGCGGAGCAAAACAGATGGAACAATAAATGGCCGAGAAATAAACGAGGTAATCGATTAGCTCACAGCAGAATATTAACAATCATTTTCGTCAGAGGTATACAGTTTATGATCTATTGCTTATTTAAGTGGTACTTAAATCGATTGAGTGTCTGCTGTACTTTACCTACCTGTTCGGGGATTCTTTCGAGGTAGGACTTGTAGATTCAGTGGTTGCTGTTCCTGCAGCTAATGGTGTTGTTATAGATTCGTTTGCTGCGGCTCCTTCTTCGCTGCTGCTATTGTTGTTATTGCTATTGTTGTTCCTCAGCGCTGGCGGCCTGTATAAATCCACCGAGTTCGATTTGCTTACTGCA